CAATGTCTAAAACATTGTATTTCTTTTTTATTTTTTGTCAGTTGTGGGGCTTGAACTAATGGCCTGGGTGCTGTCCCTGAGCCTCTTTGTGCTTAAGGTTTTTTTTTTTTTTGTCGGTCGTGGGCTTGAACTCTGGGCCTGGACGCTGTCCCTCAGCTCTTCAGCTTAAGGCGAGCGCTCTACCACTTGAGCTACAGCACCACTTCCTGTGCTTAAGGTTAGCACTCTACCAATTAAGCCATAGAGCCACTTCTGGTTTGAGGGTTTGAGTAGTTAATTGGAGATTAAAGTCTGATGGGGACTTTTCTGCTGGGGCTGGCTCTGACTGTGATCCTCAGATCTCAGCCTCCTGAGTAGCTAGGATTACAGGTGAGCCACCGATGCCTGGCTCATTGTATTTCTCCTATGGGGGACAATATCAATAAATGCAAAAGTTTCAGCAAGATAGATAAAATTATACATTATAAGAAAGTTCCTTACCTTTTACAATTCATCATTTTTTTAAGGCCCATTGTGTAATCTTCATTTAAACACATAGAGTCTTCAGAGATACCAAAGTGTTCCAATTTAGGAGTTACACACTCAAAGTTGTCCATATTGAGAGTGCATTTGGGAGTTGTAGGCAGTTTAACTAGAGGGTGTGTAGTTGGTGGAGTGTCAATGGTGTGCTCTTCTTTATGGTTGTCCACTGCTTGCTGAGGCTTTAGTAGAACTTGGGGTATCATGTACCGCTCAAGTCCAAAATCAGAAAGCTGTGGACTACGAAGATGCTTCTCAGAAACCAAAGGATCAGAGAGCTCTGCCTTCCTATCAGGTGTTGGAGGATGCTTGGTTTCAGCCAGCTCCAGGGAAGGGTCAGTGACTTCTTTCTCACATACTATATGAAATCAAAGAGGAACATTTTGGTCAAACATAAGCAGGCAAAATGTCATACTTATAAAAAAACCACAAATTTATTTGTTTGGAAACTTTCCCAAATCAGCCTAAATGTTGATTTTCTGAAAATGTTCAAGTGTTTCTTCAACAAATTTCTGACATGTATTTCTTGTCTAGTCATACTCCATTTTGATGCTACAGGAGAGAAACAGCGCTTTGGAAAGTCAGTACCTACACATAAAGCTCCTTACTTCTTCAATGTAATCATCAGGTTCTTCCGTTTGTTTTGCTTTCAGTGCCAGTCTTGGGGCCTAAACTGAGGGCTTGGGTCCTGTCTGCAAGCTTCTTTGCTCAAGACTAGTCCTCTACCACTTGAGTCATAGTACCACTTTCTGGCTTTTCCTGGTCATGTGATACTGAGGAATCAAACCCAGGACTTCATCCATGCTAGGCAAGTACTCTACCAGTAGAACACATTCCCAGCCCCTATCAACAAACAGTCTTTTAAAAGTATTTTCTGAAGACAGACGCCGATGGCTTACACCTGTAATTCTAGGTACTCAGGAGGCTGAGAGCTGAAGATCCCGGTTTGAATGCAGCCTGGGTAGAAAAATCTCTGTGAGACTCTTATCTCCAATTAACCAGTCAAAAATCGGGAAGTTGAGCTGTGGCTTAATTGGTAGAGTGCTAGTCTTGAGCACAAAAAGGCTCAGGGACAATACCTAGGCCCTGGGTTCAAGCCCTACAACAGACAACAACAAATTTTTTTTTCTGAAATTATTTTATTATTAAATAGTATAAAATTAAATGTAGAATAGACTATTTTAGATTTAGCAAAGTATATTATTTTAATTCTCAAGTTACTGATGCCTAAGTAAAAACAGAAAGAATGGTCTACAAAAATAGACTGACTTATCTTCCATGAGTTTGGGAGCTTGTTTATCAAAAGCCTAGCTGAGACAGGGGGAAACACACATACTCAATATGAACTTGTTGAACTAATGTTTTATTTATGTGATGGCTTCCCTAAAGACACAGACATATATTAAAGCCAGAGATTATCCAGATTCGGTAGAACAAGGAAGTTAATACTTAACATGCCCAGCATTGCTCTATGTAAATTTTATCTCATTTAGTCCTTATACAACCCCACTTAATAGCTATATTAAATACTCCACCAGACAGGTAAGAAACTATGACACAACCTTAGTCAGTTTGCAAAAGTAATACCTCAAGTAGTAGTGGTAGAAATTTGAACTAAAATTTGATGCTTAGTTGAGGCAATTTCGCTTCTCCTGCTATGATAAGATCTTACTAGGTAGCCAATCCTGTCATCAGACTCCCAAGCAGCTGGGATTATAGGCATGTACCACAATATGGACCTTTGGCTCTCAATTCTAAGCCACTATACTATACTATTGACCTTCTGTTAAAAATTTAAAATTAAAACTAAGACGGACACGGGTGGCTCACATAAGTAATCTCAGGTGGCTGAGATCTGAGGATCTTGGTTCAAAGCCAGCCCTGGCAGGAAAGTCTGTGAGACTCTTATCTCCAATTAATCACCAGAAAACTGGAAGTGGCTCTGTGGCTCAAGTGTTACAGTGCTTGCTTGAGCTGAAGAGCTTGGGACAGTGCCTAGACCCTGAGTTCAATCCCCATGACTGACAAAAACAAAAACAAACCTAAAAAAGGACTATCAACTTAGGCGAAAAATCTCTCACTCAATAGAAGAGGAAACTGAGCCGGGCGCTGGTGGCTCACGCCTGTAATCCTAGCTACTCAGGAGGCCGAGATCTGAGGATCAAAGCCGCCCGGGCAGGAGAGACCGGAAGACTCCTATCTCCATTAAACCACCAGAAAATCGGAAGTGGCGCTGTAGCTCAAGTGGTAGAGCGCTCGCCTTGAGCTGAAGAGCTGAGGAACAGCACCCAGACCCAGAGTTCAAGCCCCACGACGGACAAAAAAAAAAGAGGAAACTGAACACAGAAAAGTAAAATAGCATGCTTTAGGTTCTTCAACTGTTCACTGGCAGAGCAGACTAGACCTAACCTACTCTGTCATATAGATTTACCTTGTTCTTTCCAAATAAAATTATTCAAACAATTCTTTCATTTAAGAGGATGTTCATGTTCATTTAACACTGTGGAGAGAGCAAGGACTATGTATATGTGTATATGTATTTTGACAATCTTGCTATGCAGCCCAGGATGGCCTCAAATTTGTGATCTATACTGCACTATGGAGTATTGTTTACTGATTATTGAATGACAAGCATATAGGTAGAACCAGAACAAAAGCCACAGGCCAAGCCTATAAGCTATCTTAATCATATTGCCTTCCTTAATAGTATACCTAATACTATAAATAAATATTAGTCAAACCTGAATTTTCTTTGACACGCGGCTCATATCCATACTTCTCAAAAAACTCTCTTATTTTTATGATATCTGTTGAATTTTTTTTCATCAGTACTTTTGCTGCCTTTATGAATCCAATGTTTTCTTGACTTTGCAATTTTGCTTTATTCAGAAGAATATTGACATCATCCTTTTATGAGAAGAGAAAATACAGTATATAATTTCTAAGTTTAAGCTTAAAAAATAATTCACCAAAGAAAAATAATAAACCAATACTGTAGTAATGATACCTTCAGATTCTGGACTTCTGAATGAAGGTCATATAAAATTCTCATTGGATAATCTTCAAAATCTTCAATATGAATGTGGAAAACAAACAAAAAAAGTCCAATAAATAAAAGAAAAATAGAAAATTTAATGTAGCTTTTCTTTTTTTTTTTTTTTTTGTCAGTCCTGGGGCTTGAATGCAGGGCCTGGGCACTGTCCCTGACCTTTTTTTGCTCAAGGCTAGCACTCTACCACTTGAGCCACAGTGCCACTTCCAGCTTTATCTATTTATGTGACACTGAAGAACTGAACCCAGGGCTTCATGTGTGCAAGGCAAGCACTCCACCACTAAACTACATTCCCAGGCCCTTATTGTAGTTTCTTAGAATTATAAAATCCTCATAGTAAATCTTTGCTGAAAAAAACAAAAAGAGCTGGGCACCAGTGGCTCACGCCTATAATCCCAGCTACTCAGGAGGCTGAGTAGCCTGTCCAGCTGGGACAGAAAAGTCCATGAAACACTTATCTCCAATAAACCACTCAGAAAGCTGGAAGTGGCACTGTGGCTCAAGTGGTAAAGTGCTCACATTGAGCTGATGAGCTGAGGGACAGCAGCCAGGCCCAGAGTAGCTAGGGTTACAGGTGTGAGCCACTGGTTCAGCTAGTTTCTTTCTTTTACTTGTCTAAAGCTAACGTTTCGTACAAAGCACATGTTATTTTTACAGTCACAAAAACATTTTCAAATGGTTAGAAGATATAAGGAACCTGGGTTTTTAGGATTCAACACTTAAGGATATTAAAATCATGCCACTTGCCAGGTGCTGGTGCACACGCCTGTCATCCAGCTACTTAGGAGGCTGAGATCTGAGGACCTTGGCTCAAGGCCAGTTGGGACAGCAAAGTCCGTGAGACTCTTATCTCCCATAACCCACCACCACAAAACCGGAAGTGGCGCTGTGGCTCAAGGGGTCGAGGGCTAAAGCTCAGGAACAGAACCCAGGCCGACGCGAGGCCGCCAGGACCGGCACCAAACGCACAGCTCACCCCTCTACACCCGAGTCGGCCGTCCGGCTCGTCGGTTCAGCTCGGGCCGCCGCAGAGCCGCGGCGCAGCGGGCGGGGGAGAGCCGGAGCCCGGCCCGCCCCCACTCACCGTTCTCCTCCCCGTCCAGAGCTCGCTGGAGCCGGGCCGTCTCATCGTCCAGCGTGCTAGCCAGCGTCCGCAGCTTCCCGCAGAAACTCCGAATCGGGTCCATGCGTCAGGGAGCGCGGAGAAGGGATTTGGGGTGAGGACGCCTCCGGAGAACCGCTCGGAGGGAACGCGCCACTGGTTTGAAATAGGTCGCAGCGTGCGCGTCCCAAGTGCGCGCATGCGCAAAATTCTTCTACGGGTCCGGGCAGCGACGTCCCTGGGTGTGCGCGTGCGCAGAACTCTCGCGACGGTTGAAATCCCGCGTCAAGGAGCCGGAGGTTGCTGAGAGCCGCCGACCTTGCGGGAGCAACGTCGGTTCCGTGGACAGCTGCCGGTGAGTGGCTGGGCTTAGTCGGGGGTGTGGAAGATCTCTTCCCCTGCCTGCCGGTTGGGGAGTCCTCCAGTGTCTGTGGGCCGCCGTCCCCTCCCGGCGTGTGTGAGCCCCGGTGGCTCGCCCGGCCTAGTCCGGCCCGGCGGCCTCCAGCTCCGTGTCTCCTCAGCCCACCGCCATGTTCCTCACGGCCCTCCTCCGCCGCGGCCGCATTCCGGGCCGGCAGTGGACCGGGAAGCACCGGCGGCCGCGGTTCGTGTCCTCGGGGGCGAAGCAGAGGATGATCCGTCGCTTGGAGATCGAGAGCGAGAACCACTACTGGCTGAGCATGCCTTACCTGACGGCGGAGCAGGAGTACGGCCACGCCGCCGAGCGCAGGGCCCAGGCCTTCGAGGCCATCAAGGCGGCCGCCACCTCCAAGTTCCCCCCGCATAGATACCTGGCCGACCAGCTCAGCCACCTCAACGTCACCAAGAAGTGGTCCTAACCCCCAGCCAGCACTTCGAGCCTACCGGGGATGCATCGCCGCCTTATCCTGGAACTGAAAGAGCAAAACTGTCACCATGTGAGCCTCCAGACCCGAGTCTTATGAAAACAAACAGGACCCCCTTTGTACAACAGCTTCATTATAACAGTAAAATGATGTCGAAATGTGGGGCTCTGATCGCCCACATACTTAAACACATATGCCACTGCTGTTGCTGCTGCTTTTCTTTTTCTTGGCCTGGTAGGAAAGTATCTGGCCCAGAGATGTGATATGAAATGTTATTTTGAATGTGTTGCAATTAAGACTATCAACCTAGGGGCTGGGAAGGTGGCTCAGTGGTAAAGCGCTTGCCTTGCATGCATGAGGCCCTGGGTTCGATTCCTCAGCACCACATAAGCAAAAAAGAAAAAAGCCGAAGTGGTGCTGTGGCTCAAGTGGTAGCGCGCTAGCCTTGAGCTGAAGAGCTGAGGGACAGCGCCCGGGCCAGAGTTCAGGCCCCACGACTGGACCCCCCCCCCAAAAAAAGACTATCAACATAGATTTGGGGGGGTATTGGTTTACATATGAGATTATACCCTGGGGTCTTGTGGTGCAATAATAGTTTTGCTTATCTTCAGAAATGATTTAAGTGGGAAAAGCTTTCCAAATTAAATGTACTCTTAAAATGACATTTTTTTTTCCATAGGTGGACAACCTGGCACCAGTGGCTCATGCCTGTAATCCTTGCAGCTCAGGAAATTGAGATCTGAGGACTGAGATGTGAGACCAGCTAGGGTAGAAAAGTTTGCTAGACAGTATTTAAAATAACCAGCTAAAAGCAGAGCTCAGGTTGTAGAGTGCCAGACTAGCCAATTGAGAGACTGTAGGTTCAAATCTTATTACCGATAACAAAAGGACATTTAACTGAATTAGGAGGTATTAGCATCACTAACATGAAAGTACAAAACCCAACAATTGCCTTTGCCAACATTGAGTTTTGTGCGCTTATGTGTGCTGTTTCAGCTTTTTTGCTTAAAGCTAGTACTCTACTACTTTGAACCACAGCTCCACTTCTGGCTTTTTGCTCATTAATTGGAGATAAGAGTCAGGGACTTTACTGTCTAGGCGTGGCTTCAAACCGTGGTCTTCAGAACTCAGCCTCCCGAGTAGCTAGGATTATGAACATGAGCCGATGGTGCAGGACTTGAATAGTCTTTCTGGTTAACAAACACACATTGTAAACCTAGCTACCCACGCATTTATCTCCAATTAGTCATCAAAAGAAAAAAATGGAAATGGAGCTGTGACTACAGTGGTAGAGTGCCAGCCTTGAGTACAAGAGCCAAGCAAGGGTGAGAGGCCTTGAGTTCAAGTCCCCAGTACTGGTATAAGGTGGAAAAGAAGATCCTAACTATCCACCTTTATTGCTATAGTAAAAAACTAGAAACAACTAGTATCAACTGATGAGCTGTAAACAAATCGTGGAACAATACAGATGAAAACTACTTTGCAATTAAAATTTAGTTTAAGGTTTATGCTGTACTTAGAAAGAGTTGAGTTTTCCTTTTCTTTCTAGCTTTCTGTGAGGTGTTTAATATTTTTCATCAGTAAAACCTTCTGGGTCCCTTGTCTTTGTGGGGAGTCTTTCAGAAAATCTTGCGACATTATTTAGAATTAACCATAATGCAACAACTTGTTAAGCAAATGCTTTACCATGCCACCGACTTAACTGTATTTTGGGGATTGGAGTGTTTTCCTTCCTATACCCCCATGCAGTTGGATTATAGATCCATATCACCATACTCAGCTTGTCTGTTGAAATGAGAGTTTTTGTCTGAGCTGACCTTGAACTTCAGACCTGATCTCTGCCTCCTGAATAGCTGGAATTACAAGCATGCATCACTGGCCGCAGTCCCTACAAGTGATAATTTATTTTTTGCATGTACTTGGGTTTGAATTCAGTGGTGCACTTGCTGAACATGTATTCTACTACTTGAGCCATCCATCTTGTTTTCTTTAGATTTTATACATAGATGTATATATATATGTGTGTGTGTGTATGTAATGTATGTATGTATTATTTTACATATATGTCTATATATCTTTATATCTAGAGTTTGTCTGGGCTGGCTTCAGACTATGATTTGCCTACCTGTGCCTCTTGGGTAGTTAAGAGGTGTGAACTACCATATCAAGCTATGACTTTTTTTTTATTGCACAGGTATTTTGGTATTAGGAAGTTTTGGAACTTATTACAATCTTTTCTCAGGTATTTTCTGAAACTCCCTTCAAGGGAAGAGGTTCCTGTCTTCCTTCTACATGAGCTGCCTTTGACAGTAGGCTTCATTATTGCTGGGTAGAGGCCTCCACTGACAGTCCTTCAGCTGGGCAAGGGAGGAGTGCTAACATCACTTCTCCGTATGTCCCTCATGTCACATAAGGCCTTATTTTCACTAGATGGTGAGTCATGAGTGGAGAACTTGGACAGTTTTGTTTTTTTTGGTTTTGCCACATGAGGGTACAGCAATAAGGCTCATCAGCAATAGTGCCTTATTTCTCATCAGCTTGATATTGAACTTTTCAGGCCTACAGAACTGTGGGGAAATAAAATGTTTATGCACCACCCAGTCTGGCATTTAATAGCACCAGTAGGCTGATACTACTCCAGCAGGAAGGCTGAGGCTTTAAAGATGAAGCTATTTGTCTCCTTGTGGTAAAACTTTCCATCTCCTTAGGAGCAAAATATCCCCAGAATAGACTTGGGTTAATGTGGAAGACTACTGCAGAGACTGTAGGGAATCTGAACGTTGTCTTCCTGTGTGTTTACATTTCAAAGGAGAGAAAAACTCAGGTTATAAAATGAGAGACAGGAATGTATTTTTTCCAGAGATTTATTTACATTCCAAGCACCCTTTCTTGGAAGAGTGGTAGATGTTCCTATTTCTTTTTTGTCAGTCGTGGGGCTTGAACTCTGGGCTTGGGCACCATCCCTCAGCTCTTCAGCTCAAGGCCAGCGCTCTACTGCTCGAGCCACAGCACCACTTCCGGTTTTCTGAGTGGTTTATTGGAGATAAGAGTCTCATGGACTTTTCCTATCTGGGCTGGCTTTGAAGCATGATCCTCAGATCTCAGCCTCCTGAGAAGCTAGGATTAGAGGCATGAGCCATTGGTGCTTGGCTAGATGTTCCTATTTCTATGTAAGTAGAGGCAGTCACTTTCCCTAATAATCTATTGTACATGAAAGAGTCCTACAACCTGGCCTTTGTTCATTTGCAGGGGTGGGAGACCTAAGATGATGGTTTTCTGGCTGTTGTTCTTGCTGGGGATGAATTGGCATGATCTCTGGCTAAGGAGACTCACATTTCTCTAATTGCAGGTAGGATAAGATCTTAAATCCTCCACTGAAGCTGGGTGTCCATGGGTGATTTATGCCTATAATCTTAGCTACACAGGAGTCTGAGATCTGAGGACTGCAATTTAGATTTGAAGCCCGCCCAGACAAGAAAGTACTTGAGATTCTATTTCCAATTAACCACCAAAAAGCTGAAAGTGGAGATGTGGCTCAAGTGGCAGAGTTCCAGCCTTGAACAAAAATGAGAATGAGGCTGAGTTCAAGCCAGCAAACACACACAGTGTTTAACAAGCATGTCTTTAAATCCTAGTAATTTTAATAGTATTATTTGTTTGAGTTTACTTCGTTGGTGTCAAAAGATGTTTCAAAGATATTTCATTCTCTTAAATTTTAGAGTTCTTGTTGCATGATCCTTCCATTTGCCTAGGTAAAAGTCCCATATCCATACAAGTTCACATTTTCTGCAGTTAGTGGCAGTAACTTAAGTTTTGTAAGTGAAAATGAGTCCAGCATAGATAGTGTCATTTGTATCTTGTAATAACCCCATCATAGCCCTGCGTCAAGGCTGACATCATCGCTCCAAGGACCGGGCCACCAGAGGGGGCGGGACATTGAGAGGCTGACATCACCGTCTAATGGGGCATGCCATCAAGAGCTGTCAAGCTGTCAAGTGATTGGACTGTGGGCATCTTGGGGGTGGGACTTGAGTGGTGGTTGAAATCATTAGCCAGTTGGAGCCATTGGAGTGGGGGCAGGGCACAGCATATATATACATATCTATATATATACACACACACATATATATATATACATATATAGATATATATATATAGATTGGGTTCTGAGCAGCTGAGAGTGGAGACAGCAGGAGACGTCTACCTGAGCAGAGCAGGGCAAGCCTGTGGAGAAGGAAGGAAAAGGAAAAGCCTTCCCCTTTGGAGGTTTAGGGCTTTAGAGGTCTGGGTTTGGAGGTTTGCCTACCAACTAATAAAAGTCGGGCTGTCCATTGGAGGGTTGGTGGTGGAGTCTGCTCTTTGTCCTGGGTATCTAGCCCAGGACAAGGTAGTCACAGGCCCCCTTTCTGGTGTAAATAGTGTAAGTAAAATTCTTCTCTCTTTAATCGTGTCTGGCTAGATTGTCTTGCTCTCATCATAATTTTGTATATTTTAGGGGATAGCCTGTCAATTATCCTGTCAATTATGAGTATTTGAAATGTTCCTTCTATATTTGCTTTTTCTTCCTTCCTTATGACCTCTAATGAGAGAGGCAATCCATCGAGGCACAGTTAAAGGTGACAAAAAGCCCCGACTTTTATTAGTTGGTAGGCAAACCTCCAAACCCAGACCTCCAAAACTCCAAATCTCCAAAGGGGAAGTCTTTTCATCCCTTCCTCCTCTGCTGGCCTCTCTACTCTCCACAGGCCTCTCTAGAGGAAGGTCCCAAATGACATGCAGAAGAGGTCCCAGCCTCTCAAGGAGGCTCCAGTTGAGCTCTTGAGGAGGTCCGAGATGGCTTCTTGAGGCCTGCCCTGCTCTACTCCGGCAGGCTTTCTCCTCCTGTTTCCCTCCCCACTCCGTGTCTCTCCTCTGTAGCTCTCCTCGCTACTCCTCAGGTCTTTCCCCTCCAGCTGCCCGCTGTCAGCCTCTCAGTGAGGCTCCCTTTGCGATGCCCCGCCCCTTCTGCGGGGGGGGGGGAGGTGGGGGGGACGCTGATTATCACACTTTTTTGTCAGTACCAGCCAGGGTTTTTTGCTCATAGCTGGCCATTTGAGCCATGCCTCCAGTTTGGGTTTTTTACTGGTTAATTGGAGGTATACAAGAGTGAGACACTTGTCGCCCAGCCTTTCTTTGTAAAGAGGGTCTCTTGCTTTGATGCCCAC